TATAGATGGGGGCGTAATTGGAGTTATTAAAATTATAATTTTACGACAGCCGATATTATTATTACTGATGTAACCGAAATTAACATTAGCATATATATTAATATAGCATATATTTAATAAAATTGATCTATATCAATACAAAAATTATTCATCGCTATAATTACTACAAGCCAATAATTGTATTTATATCAAAATTTGGATCACCGTGATCAATAATTTCTTGATTTATCACAGTATTTGAGTCATTTTCACTTAAAGCGAAATCTATATTAATAATGCTTCTAATTTCTAAATTTTCGTTATTAATATCTGTTAAATCTATAATATTATTATCTTTTAATTCATTACCTTCTTCCTTGCTTTCAATACTTTCATCAAACATATCGTCATCTGATATAATAGTAGAAGTATAATTTTTCATTGTTTGTTCGAATTCATCTTCATTTATTTCATGTTTGACATAATTTAATTCTTCATGTGCATTCGTTACATAGTATGAATATAATTTGGCCATATTTGATACTTTTTCAACAGTTAACCTTAAAATAAAAAAAATTAAATATTATATTATTATATATAAAAATCAACGAAAAATTTATTTACCTGTTTCGTCTTTTTTGAGTCATCCAACTTAAAACAGAAAAAATTCTTTCGCAATCACCACTATGTGGAACTATAGCTAAAAGATGTAGCACAAGTTTTTGCAAATGATGCTGTGACTGTTTACATCCAATCCACCATGTTTGAGGAGTTTCTATTGTTTCAACAAAATTTGTATTATATGGTGACTTAAATGCATCATAATTTCGCATTTGTGCTACTAATATTGAAGCACTATTTGAGCCACCGCCTAAAAGTTTCCAAATTTCTAAAGCTTTTTTTAAAACTTCATGAAAAATTTCCGGAATTAATCCTTTGCCACGGTATTTTGGATGTAAAAAATACACCAAAAGATATATATTGGTATCGAATTCTTGCCACCGCTTGTTATAGTATGTAATACATTGTCTTCTAAATTCAATACGTTCGTAAGTATCATCAAGGGATAAAGAATTAATTGCAGCTGCCATTTGAATCAAAGTTAAAAAAACATCTGCCATAGTTGTCGAAGTATATTCTATCATTTTTAT